CTTTCCATGTATTTATATCTTTTTTAAATTCTTTTCAGCAATGATTTGTATCTTTCAGTTTATAAGTCTTTTACCTCCTTGATTAAGTTTATTCCCAAGTATTTTTTAAAATTTATTTATTTTATTTACTTGTTTTTGGCTGCGTTGGGTCTTCGTTGCTGTGTGTGGGCTTTCTCTAGTTATGGAGAGTGGGGGCTACTCTTAGTTGGGGTACGTGGGCTTCTCATTGTGGTGGCTTCTCTTGTTGCAGAACACAGGCTCTAGGTGCGTGGGCTTCAGTAGTTGTGGCACGTGAGCTCAGTAGTTGTGGCTTGTGGGCTCTAGAGCACGGGCTCAGTAGTTGTGGCGCACGGGCTCAGTTGCTCCGCGGCATGTGGAATCTTCCTGGACCAGGGACCGAACCCATATCTCCTGCCTCGGCAGGCAGATTCTTAACCACTGTGCCATCAGGGAAGTCCCCATATTCCCAAGTATTTTAAATCTTTTTGATGCTATTGTAAACGGGATTGTTTTCTTAATTTCATTTTAGGATTGTTCATTGTTAGTGTATAGAAGTGCAACTGGTCTCTGTTGTTTTGTTTTTCTCTATTACCACTGTATTCTTTATTTCCTTCCTCCAGCTAGCTTTGGGTTTAGTTTGCTTTTCTCATTTCCTTAAGGTGTAAAGTTAGTCTATTGCTTTGATATCTTTCTTTTTTTTTTTTTAATGAACTTATTTATTTTTGGCTGCGTTGGGTTTTCGTTGCTGTGCACGGGCTTTCTCTAGTTGTGGCGAGCAAGGGACACTCTGTTGCAGTGCACGGGATTCTCATTGCAGTGGCTTCTCTTGTTGCAGAGCACGGGCTCTAGGCGCATGGGCTTCAGTAGCTGCGGCATGTGGGCCCTAGAGTGCGTGGGGCTTCAGTAGTTGCAAGCATGGGCTCAGCAGTTGCAGTGCACAGTCTCTAGCATGCTCGGGCTTCAGTAGTTGTGGTTCACAGGCTGTAGAGCGCAGGCTCAGTAGTTGTGGTGCATGGGCTTAGTTGCTCCTTGGCATGTGGGATCTTCCCAGACCAGGGATCGAACCCGTGTCCCCTTCATTGGCAGGCGGATTCTTAACCACTGCACCACTAGGGAAGTCCATCTGTTCACTTTCCTTCATTCTTTTTTCTTTCTGATCCTCAGACTCAATAATTTCATGTGTCTTCAAGTTCTCTGATTCTTACGTCAGCCTGCTCAAATCTGCTGTTGAACCTCTATGAATTTTCTCATTCATTTATTATATTTTTCAGCTCCAGAATTTTGTTTGATTCTTCCTTATAATTTCTCTCTTTGTAGATATTCTCGTTTTGTTCATAATATCATTTTCCAGATTTGCTTTCCCTCTTTGTGTTTTCCTTTAGCTCTTTGAGCATATTTAAGACAGCTGTTAGAAAGTCTTTATCTGGTAAATCTGATGTTTGTGCTTCCTCAGGGATAGTTTTTGCCAGTTTATATTGTTCTTTGGATGAACCATGTTATCCTATTTCTTTGTTTGCCTTTTATTGTTTTTGTTGAAAATTAGGTATTTGAAAAAAACAACGACCTTTCCCTGTCCTTGCAGACTGGCTCTGTTGTGCCTGGGCACTCCTTCACTGATTGACTGGACTTGCTTTGAGCATAGGGATCAGCCCAGGTGAAAGCTTAAGGTCATCTCTGAGGGTTTGTTTTGCCTGGGTCTGTGTGTGGCTTTTTTCATTTCCTCTTTATACACAGCTGTTTTTGAATGTCTTATCTTCCCAAGAGTCTCATCTCCAGCTTCTGTTTGTGGCCTTAGGTTATCTATTATATATCTTCACTCATAAGCTCTTGCTCAAGGCATCTCAGAGTCTGAAATCCTTGTAGCCTTCATGATTAGTGCCTGTTGATTTTCTCTGCCTGAGATTCAAGTTAGGTGGACAGAGATCAGTCCTTCAGACAGTCCCAGGACTGGTTAGATCATTGCAAATAAGGTCAGCTCTGCTCCCTCTGATTTGAGGGAGGGAACTGGGAACTGGTCTGCTGCCTCCTCTAGACCAAGACACTGCCATGCCAAGGTGGGTAGGCATTGATTGCACATTCATTTGGCTGCTATAGACGTTTGACTGTTTTCCAGATCTCCTGTAAAGTTAGTTCAGCCAATTTTGGATTGTTTTTTGTTGTCTCTGATGTCACTCCTTACGTGTACGTTTTTTGTTTTTGTTTGTTTTTGCAGTGCGCAGGCTGCTCACCATTGTGGCCTCTCCCGCTGCAGAGCACAGGCTCCAGACGCGCAGGCTCAGCGGCCATGGCTCACGGGCCCAGCCGCTCCGCGGGATGTGGGATCTTCCCAGACCGGGCCACGATCCCGTGTCCTCTGCATTGGCAGGCGGACTCTCAACCACTGCACCACCAGGGAAGCCCCTGTTTTTGTTTTTTTAATATTTATTCATTTATTTGGCTGCTCCGGGTCTTCGTTGTGGCATGCAGGATCTTTAGTTGCGGCATGCAAACTCTTAGTTGTGGCATGTGGGATCTAGTTCCCTGACCAGGGATCGAACCCGGGCCCCCTGCATTGGGAGCACGGAGTCTTAGCCCCTGGACCACCAGGGAAGTTCCAACCTGTAGGTTTTTTTGTGCATAATCTTTATCATATTAAGGAAGTTCCTCTCTATTCTTAGTTTGCTGAGTTTTTATGGTTTTTTAAAAAGTATTGAATTTTGTGAAATGCTTTTTTTTAATGTGTGTTGTTATTATCATGTGATTTTTCTTCTTTGACCTGTCAGTGTGAGAATTTATCTTACTTGATTATTGAATGTTGAGCGAGCCTTTCATACCTGGAGTAAATTCCACTTGGTCATGATATGTAATTCTTTTTATACAGTGTTTGGATTTTATTTTATTTTACTTTTTAAAATTTATTTTTGGCTGCGTTGGGTCTTTGTTGCTGCGCGTGGTCTTTTCTCTAGTTGTGGCGAGCGGGGGCTATTCTTCATTGCGGTGTGCAGGCTTCTCATTGAGGTGGCTTCTCTTGTTGCGGAGCACAGGCTCTAGGTGCATGGGCTTCGGTAGTTGTGGCACGCAGGCTCTAGAGCGCAAGCTCAGTAGTTGTGGTGCATGGGCTTAGTTGCTCCGCGGCATGTGGGATCGTCCCTGACCAGGGATTGAACACATGTCCCCTGCATTGGCAGGTGGATTTTTAACCACTGCGCCACCAGGGAAGTCCCTGGATTTTAATTGTTTATATTTTGTTGAACGTTTTTGTATCTATGTTCATGAGAGAGATTAATTTGTACTTTCTTTTCTTGTAATGTGTTTTGGTATTAGAGTGATGCTGATGTCACAGAATAAGTTAGCAAGTATTCCCTCTGCTTCTACCTTCTGAAAGAGACGAAAATTGGTATAATTTCTTGTTAAATATTTGGTAGAATTTACCAGTGAACCCATCTGGGACTGATGCTTTCTGTTTTGGAAGGTTATTTGTTCATTTCTTCGGTAGATCTAGGCCTACTCAGATTGTCTCTTTCTGTTTGTGTGAGTTTTGGCAGATTGTGCTTTCAAGGATTGGTTCATTTCCTGTTAAGTCAGTGGTCCCCAACCTTTTTGGCACCAGGGACCAGTTTCGTGGAAGACAGTTTTTCCACGGATGGGGTGGGGAGGGAGGGTTGGTTCAGGTGGTAATACAAGCGATGGGAAGCAATGGGGAGCGATGGGGAGCGGCAGATGAAGCTTCGCTTGCTCGCTAGCCCACCCGCCTGCCTGCCCACCTGCCCGCCCGCCGCTCACCTCCTACTGTGCAGCCCGGTTCCTAACAGGCCGCAGACCGGTACCGGTCCGTGGCCTGGGGGTTGGGGACCCCTGCTCTAAGTTATTACATTTGTGGGCATAGAGTTGTTCATAGTATTCCTTTATTATCTTTTTAATGCCCATGGGATCTGCAGTCATGTCCCCTTTTCATTTTGGATATTAGTAATAATGTGTCCTCTCTCTTTTTTTTCTTAGCTCAGCTAGTGGTTTACTGATGATCTTTTCAAAGAACTATCTTTTTGGTTTCTTGATTTTCTCTATTTCTTGTTTTCAACTTCATTGATTTCTCCTCTAATTTTCATTATTTCTTTTCTTCTGCTTACTTTGGAACTAATATGCTCTTCTTTTTTTAGTTTCCTGAAGTGGATGCTTAGATTATTGAGTTCAGATATTTTTTCTTTTCTAATACATGCATTCAATGCCATTAATTTCCTTCTAAGCACTGTTTTCGCTGCATCTCACAAATTTTGATAAGTTGTATTTTCATTTTCATTTAGTTCAAAACATCTCTTAATTTCTCCTTTGATCTGTGTGTTATTTGGGAATGTGTTATGTAATCTCCAGGTGTTTGGGGATTTTCCAGCTCCTTTTCTGTTACTGATTTCTTATTTAATTCTGTTGTGGACTGAGAGCATACATTGTATGATGTCTGTTCTTTTAAATGTGTTAACATATGTTTTATGGCCCAGAATGTTGTCTACTTGGTGAATATTCCATGTGAACTTGAGAAGAATGAATATTCTTCTGCATGAAGTAGTCTATAGATATCTATTATATCCAGTTGATTGATGGTTTTGTTGAGTTCAGCTATGTCCTTTTCTGCCTTTTGGATGTGTCCATTTCTGTCATAGGGGTGTTGAAATCTGCAGCTATAATAGTGGATTCATCTGTCTCTTTTTGCAGTTCTATCAGTTTTTCCTTCATGTATTTTGAAGCTCTGTTATTAGGTACATACATATTAAGGATTATTATGTCTTCTTGAAGAGTTGGCCCATTTATTATTATGTAATGCCCCTCTTTTTTAAAAAATAAATTTATTTATTTATTTTTGGCTGTGTTAGGTCTTCTTCGTTGCTGTGTGCAGGCTTTCTCTAGTTGCGGCGAGCAGGGGCTACTCTTCGTTGTGGTGCACGGGCTTCTCACTGCAGTGGCTTCTCTTGTTGCGGAGCACAGGCTCTAGGCACGTGGGCTTCAGTAGTTGTGGCACATGGGCTTAGTTGCTCCACGGCATGTGGCATCTTCCCGGACCCGGGCTCGAACCTGTATTCCCTCCATTGGTAGGCGGATTTTTAACCACTGCACCACCATGGAAGTCCTGAGTTGTGTGATCTTTTTCAGTGTTGATCTGATGTTCATCCCATACTGTGTGTTTTTGCATTTCAGATATTTATACCATCTCTAGAAGTTCCATTTAGGTCTTTTTAAAGCTTCTATTTCTCATTATGCTCATGTTTCCCTCTACTTTCCTGAATTTATGAAGCATGTTTATAATATCTGTTTTATTGTCCTTGTCTGATAATTCCTTTATATCTGTCACTTCTAGGTCAGTTGCTATTGATTGCTTTTTCTTATGGTCATAAGTCATATTTTCTCCTTTTTCACATGCCTGGTATAGCAGTTGTCAATCCACCCTTCATCGCCGGCTTGTGATGCTGGAACATTCCTCCCTTGCCAGCTAGCCTGATACTAACCTTTGTCAGTGGAGGGCGCTGGAGGAGAAAGGGCCTGTCATTCTGGTTCTTTGTGCTTTGCTCATTCCTGTTTTGTGACATTAGCTCACCCCCGGTGAATTTCTGTGGCACCTTCTCAGGCAGCTTCCTAGCTGCAAATTCAGCAGCACTGGCCTGGGTGCCAGCGATGAGGCTCTTTATATATTTCGAAGGGGGTAGGCACTTGCATGGAACCCAGGCAAGTTCCATGGGTACCCCAGCTGGCCTCCTGGCAGCTCTCTAGTGAGTTCATCAGCACCTCCACCCTGGTGACTTCCTAGCACTCTCTGCAGACAGCTTCCCAGCTAATTCTGTTGGCACCCTCTCAGGTGGCTTTCAGTTCCCAGCCTTGGCCTGGGACAGCCCAGTAAACTTCACCATCCAGTGAGCTGTGATCTCGCAGCTCTGAGTCGTTCTCTTGTATACTTCCCTTCACCCTAGGGTATTCTGTAGGGTTCTCTTTTGGTTCCTTTTAGTTAATTCCCTATAAATAGTTAATTCTTTATAATAAACTTCCCTTGTTTAAAATACCATGTGGTATCTGTCCCCTGGCTGTACCCTGATCGATAGACCTGGCAATTTCCTTATTGGCTACTAGACATTGTAAATTTATGTTGTTGGTTGCTGGGTTTTGTTGTATTCCTTCAAGTAGTATTAATCTTGGTATGGCACCCAGTTAAGTTCCTTGGCATCAGTTGATCCTTTAGAGGATTGTTCCCGAGCTGAGTTAGGGTAGTCCAGAGCTGCCTTTGGTCTACAGCTAATTTAGCCTCATTACTAGGAGTGATGCCCTTCTGAGGATTCTACCCAATACCCTGTGAATGAGGAAGTCTTTCCATGGTGGCTTGTGGGAACACAGTTTATTCCTTCCTGTGTGAGCTCTGGGGATTGTTCTGTCTGCTCCTTTCCAGGGGTTCTTGCCCCAGCCTCCTCACATAGTTTTTCTTACACAGGTACAGATTTGTCCTTAGCTGAAGACACGAGGGAATCCTCTTTGGATCCTGGAGCTCTGCTTTCTGTACAGCCCCCTGCTCCCCAACATTTTGCTGTACACATTCTAGCCACCTGGGCCTCCCTGACCTCCTCAGTGTCTCGTGCACTCAGGAGACAGCCAGGTCTGAGTTTCCCTTCCCTGCACTGTAGCCTAGAAACTGCCTCACCTATGGCTGGTCAGTCATAGGGCCCAGAGTTCCCTGGTGGTCCAGTGGTTAGGACTTGGCGCTTTCATTGCTGTGGACCCAGGTTCAGTCCTGGTCGGGGAACTAAGATCCCACAAGCCGCACGGTGCAACACCGCCCCCCTCCCCCCTGCCACAAACACACAAAAATCATAGGGCCTAGTGTGTTGGTGTCCCTTCTCCCTGGGATCACTGTCCTGTACTTATCCAGTGACTGAAAACCATCACATCATCTCTTGTCCAGCTTTCTTGTTGTTTAGGGCCCCTGTTACTCCATCTTGAATGAGTGAATAAACACACAAACAAATGAAACAGCCTGATGAAATTTCAGGACAAGTTGGTACCCTGTAGCTAAGTTGACTGACGTTATTAACGCTCCCTTTTTTCTTCTTTTTAAACCAGTCACGTGTGAATGGGAGCAGCAAGATGGCACAGGCTGTGAGGGAGTGACATGGTGGCAGTCTGGAGTTGGCTCCCCAGCAAATTTGCATTTTACCAGCTTTCTGCACTGTGTCATTTGTGGGCTGAGGCACCTGCGAAGATCACTGCCTCCTCACAGGAGCTCAAGTGAGGAAACAGCCAATCACCAATGCATTTGCATAGGCCTCCTCTATGGCCTGCTACAACTTCAGCAGTCTTTGGACGATGGGGAGCCAGACCGACAAGGCACCTGCCTCAGGCCACTCTGGCCGAGGACCAGGTGGGAGGGCGCTGGACTGGGCTCATTCCTGGCATCCTGAGGTCATTGCTGCTTCTGCCTGAGGCCCTGTCCCTTGACTGGCGGCTGTGCTTTTATGCAGGCCCTGGGGAAGAGAGTCTGGAAAGCCAGCCTCACAGGTAAGTGGACGTGTTTTCTAAGCTGGTATAGAAGTGGGGTGAGATCCAGTGCCATTCCCCAGAGCCCAACGATTCCTGAGGAGGCAGAGGTCTCTGCGGCTGCCTTTCCTGTTCTCCTGGGGGCACATTCTCTTCTAGTAGCTGGGAATCTACGTGCCTCAGGCCCCCTCACTGGGGCAGTGTCTGGACCTTTGGGTAGAGAAGTGGGGGCAGGGCCCTATGTCTGCCCACATTTGGCAGGCCCTTTGGGGAGCCCTCACTCTGGTGGGGGGCCTGGGCAGGACAAGCGCAGCACCCTTCCCTCACAGCAGGCCCGATGAGGTGACTGCCCTGGAGGCTGGGTAGGGGGAAGCTGAGGTGCGGGGGAAGAATGGTTCAGTGGGAGCCTTTCTCCTCTCATGACTGAGCCCCCCCACAGGCTCTCACTGCACGTGTCCCCACCCCCAAGAGAAACTGAGTTATAGGAACATTACAGCTCACAGCTTCCCATGGTAGTGGGGGGCAGGGAGAAGTACCCAGGGGAGCTCAGGGACTGTGGTCTTCTCCTCACTGGTGGGGCCACATTGCTCAATGTCCTATACTCTGAGGTCCAGAGATGCTTAGATAATGGAGGGTGAGCAGAGGCTGATGACTAGTAGGCACGGTGACCAGGGGAGGTGGGGAAGACATGGTACCAGCCTTCCCTAGCTGCTCATCCAGGAAGGAGTAGGCAGAGTTGGAAAGACACACTGCACTTGGGACTCAGGTCTGAGGGTCTGTGGTGAGAGCTGTGGTGGCTACTGCATCGTGGGGCTGTACCATACACGGGCATCGACCCCTGGGGCCATAGGTCCTTGTGAGAGTCCTGCTGGGCTCCGGCTCAGGCATGGGCAGCCCCCTCCTCTCCATGGAGATGGACCCGTACCACCTCCTTCCTCTCTAGAGTCAATCCTCAGCCTTTGCCTGGGACTTCCATGACAGGGCAGAGTTGTTCTGAGCTCTCTGCTATCTGGCTGCGCTTTACCTGAGTATCGTTCTGACAGCCACTTACCCCACGGGAAGCCTCCTTCCCCTCTGCTCCCCTCCTGTTAGGAGCTGTAACTTTGGTACTCCCTTATCACTCTTGGTTACGTGTCTCCATCCCACCAGGATTTGGGATGTGGAGGCTGAGGAGCCTGGGCCAGTGGCAGAAGCCTGTTCCTTTACTTAGTCATCAGGGAGGACCAAGTCGGGCTCCTCTTGTGTGAGATGCTCACACTTAAATGGGCACAACCAGAGCAGCTGAAAAGGTTGGAGCATCTAAAGACATTGTTCTGCCAAGAAAGTCCCTGCCTGACATTCATCTTTTCATTCAGCAAGTAGTTGGTGAGCACCTGCTATGGGTCAGGCCTTGTTTAGGTGCTGCTACATAAGCCCCAGCTCTTGTGGGACTTATGTCCAGTGGGATGAGACTGACCATACATTGTATGTTAGATGTGATTGTTGGGCAAGAAAAAATAAGCAGGGTAAAGGAGATAGAACAGTGGGACAAAACCTGCTACTAAGTAGGATGCTATGGTAGGGTGACATCTGGGCAGAGGCTCAAGTCAAGGGAGGGACAAACCATGTAGCCATCTGGAGGCAGAGTGCTCAGGTAGAACAGTGCAAAGGCCCTGAGGCAGGATCCCCTTTGGGAAACATTGTTGAAACTGTCAATGTGAAATAAACTATAGTGTCTATAGATAAGCCACGTGGCTGGTTCTGGGCAGGAAGCACAGCAGGTACTTACAGTTCTCAGAAACCAGCATTGCCCATCTGGCTAAGGGTGCAGAGTCCCCAGAAAGGAAACAGGCCTGGAGCTGGCAGTCTGCAGGCCCCAAGGCTTCTTCTCTAGGAGTGAGGTAGTAAACCTGAGCTGAGGACAGATGCTCCATTCTCTGAGGAGCTGTAGAACAAGTTTATGGAATATAGAATTGCTATGTCCTGGCACTATGCCATCTTCACTTTTAGTAGTGGGCTGATGAGAACAAATGCTGTGGATTTCAGACAGGATATGGAGATCTTCAGTCCTAGAGACTCTTGGTCGGGCAGGAAGGGATGGTCTGTTTCCCTTCTGGCCGCCTCTTATCGGGTGGAATACCTCTGCACAGGACATTTATAGCTCAGAGATGTCCACACGGCCTGCTAGTTGGACCAGCTTGCCTAGTTATCAACCATATCCTGTCCAGCGCTCTGCTTCAATGACTCATTCCAGGTAATGAAAACAGACTGCTTCTGGCAATGGAGTAGCTTATGGCAGACCAGTGCCTGACGAGGACTCAAGGAACTGACCATAATTCAGAAAGCATCTGCTTGTAGGACTGGAGCACTACCCCAGCACCCGCAACTCAGAGGGGAGCTTGAAGAGGTGAGTCCTATTTCCTGCACTGGCTTCTCCCTTTGGGGCTGGGCAGGAGCAGCTGCTCAGAGGCAGAGAAGCCAGAGGAGCTCCGCATAACCTTGCGGGACTGGGGAGACAGCTGGGGGTTTGGGCCTGCTGAGGCAGTGGGACCTGAGGGCCAAGATCCCTGAGAGGAAGGAGGCCAGAGAAGCAGAAAGTGGCTAAAAAAGCACAGCTGGGGCTTCCCTGGTGGCGCAGTGGTTGAGAGTCTGCCTGCCGATGCAGGGGACACGGGTTCGTGCCCCGGTCTGGGAAGATCCCACATGCCGCGGAGCGGCTGGGCCCGTGAGCCATGGCCGCTGAGCCTGCGCGCCCGGAGCCTGTGCTCCGCAACAGGAGAGGCCACAACAGTGAGAGGCCCGCATACCGCAAAAAAAAAAAAAAAGCACAGCTGGCTTTTTGGCAGTTTCATGATGCTAGGGAAGAGTTCAGAGCCTGCCAAGGAGGAATGGCCCTAAGAAATACCAGGCTCTCAGCTTGGACCATTGGGGACCACAGGTAGATTGGACTTTACAAGGACTGTGGAATGAGTTTAGCGTTAGCTGAGCCCTGGAGTGGCTTGAGGTGGCCTTCCCCTCTGCTGCCCACCCTGGAGGGAGACACCATCCTGATCCTCAACCATCTGTCACACACAGTGCCTGACACTCTGTCAAGTTACTAGGTACACTGAGAAACAGGATGGGGGGAGTGGGGGGGAAGAGTGACAGACCCACAGGAGATAAGATATTGGAGTTAGCAGACATGGACTTTAAAATAACTGACTAACATATTGAAATAGGTGAGGTGGAGAGTTTCACAGAGAATTAGAATTCATAAAAGATTAAATGAAAATTCAAAGTGCAATAACTGAAATTTAAAATTCAGTAGGTGGATTTAAAAGTAGATGAGAGACAGCTGAAGAAAGGACTAGTGAACTGGAAGATAGATCAATAGAAAATATCTCTGCAAACCCCACCATGACCAGCTCGCACTATCCTGTGAGCTTCCTTGTCCTGGGCCCTCTGAGCCCTTCTGTAAACCCGTTGGGCAGTGGCGGGGGGGCCTGCTGAGGAGGCTCTTTGTGCTTGGGAGAGACTGAGGGGGCTTGGGAATTTGGGGATCGCTCTCCATTGCAGCCTTGTTGGAAACATTACCAGCACATTGGCAGTCTAGTCATTGAGCTCCATGACTCTAGTGAAATCTTTAAGGGTCTCAGGCAACAGGAACTTTGTGCTCATGGGCTCAGGCTAAAGGTATGCTAATCTCTCCAACATAAACCTTAGAAAATGCCTTTGGTGGGACAGGGAACCAAGGGAGGCTTGTCTGTGATTTGCAAGGGGCGTGCACATTGCTGCTCAGGCTCGTGGACCATGGAACCCGAGTGCTGCCTGTTCCACTGACATGGGGCACTGGCGTAACTGGGGGTGAGGGAGCAGGGTCGGGGCTGTGCTGAGCTTGACCTTGAAACTGTTGTGGATTGTAGCAGTTCACACGCATGTTCTGAGAAATTTTCCATCCTGGGTTAATGACTTCCTTATAATGAACAGAAATAAATTCAAGAGGGATGGTGAGCTAAGGTGGGGTCATGGGCCAAGGCCAGTGGCTGGGCTGAGAGAGATGACTGCTGACCTGCACAGGCTGTCTAACATGGATTAAAGCAATGTCACAGCAAAGACATTGGCCTTTTATCTCAAGTAAAAGATGGAAGCCCCTTTGTCCTCTAAAATGCTCTGTCTTGGGGCCAGCGAAAACCGCTTTTGAGGGGAGAGGAGGAATCCAGGTCAAATCTGGGTGAGGGAGGACACAAGAGCCACTGGCTCCTGGGAGCTTCTGGTCAGCCCAGACCAAGTGTCCAGAAGCAACTTGGACACCCTGCAGTGTCTCCTGTGCTTCAGGAGAGGAAACCATGTTGGGTTCTCTCTGGAAGGTCCATGAGGAAGGGACGTTCTCTCACATGGGAGGTTGCGGGACAGGAGGTGAGGAACAGGTGAGCACAGAGCCTTCTACCTTCCAGGCATTGTTTTAGGCCTGGTCAGTTTCATGGACAAGATAGACAAGGTCCCTGCTCCTGTGCAGATTGTGTTCTAGTCCAGAGGCCGCCTTCAACCGGTGTAAGCAAGTAAGAGCAAACACTAAAACAAGGAAAACAAGTGATAAGGGTCATGGAAAAGATGACATTGGGACCACGCTGGTGGCAGGGTTGGGTTGGGGAGAGGGCAGCCTCCCTGAAGAGGTGATGGTGAGCTGAACTGGAATGACAGGGTGGGTAGCTCTGCGTGCAGAGCGGCACCCTGAGCTGGCATTGCACAAGTCCTGGTAGGCCCTGGCTTTCCTCATAAGGACAATGAGAAACCGATGATAGATTTTTTAAAAAAATTATTTGTTTGTTTGTTTGGCTGCATTGGGTCTTAGCTGTGGCACACAGGAACTTCATTGCGGCATGTGGGATCTAGCTCCCTGACCAGGGATCGAACCCAGGCCCCTTGCATTGAGAGCATGGAGTCTTAGCCACTGGACCACCAGGGAAGTCCCCCGATGACAGATTTTAAGCAGGAGAAAAAGGTGATCTGATTGCACATTTACAAGATGTGCTGCATGCTGTGTGTTTACTGGGATTGTGGCGAGAGTTTCTGGGAGCAGGGAGACCAATGGGCGGATTTGCTTGTGTTCAGCAAAGGACAGGTGTCGCAGCTGCAAAGCCAGAGGGGACTGTAGACTCAGGATGCATTTGGGGTGGGGCTGAGAGAAAACAGGGACCCAAATGAGCCTCAGGTATCTGAGCATCTGGGTGGAGGCAGGGCCGTAGTGGGAGGGGGGCATACCCACTGTGTATGTCAGATCTAGAAGTTCCCAAACTCGCAGTTCAGAGCACTTCTAGTTAAGGTTCAGTAATTATTTTAAGGGACTTATAGGCCAAAAGAAGTACCTAACAGTTCCATTTTTAAATACATAAGTCCAAACAAGTTAAGTATTGACATCCTAGCAACTTACAGTAGATATTTGGAAAATAATGTAAACTTAAAATTTTTTTCATTTTTAAGTAACTGTAATTATTTATGGGTGGAACGTGTGCCCATCGGCTCTTCTTGAATCTTGGAATCAGATTGGACACTGCCACCCTTGTTGCTTTTTCCACATTGATTCTTACACAGTAATTGCTTTTTCAATAACTGCCAGAAACCTAGCTTTGCAGACATGAAATAGTGGAAAGGAGTGTAGCAAGATATGATGTTGAAACCATGAAGTGTTCAGAGATGTTTAGTATCACCATTTTCCTCAAAAGTAAAAGGCATCCTGCTGTGCCTGCAAGTTCACTGTGGGCTGGGGGTTCTTCAGTGCATTGTTTAGAAACTGCAGCTCTGTGCCCTTCCCTTTTCCCTCTGGGTCTGTGGACGTCCTCTCTCCTGGGCCACATGTTGGTGTGCAAGTCCCCCACCACCACCCCCAGCAATTCTTTGGGATGGCTCACTGGGTCTTGTGGCACTCACTGTTGCCCTCACAGCCCAACAGCCTGCACATGGCAAATGTCCCTTTGAAGCTATCGTGTTCCCAGCTTCAGTGCTTAGAGGATTTTCTCTTTATCCTTTGATTTTATTTTTTATAAATTTATTTATTTATTTATGGCTGAGTTGGGTCTTTGTTGCTGTGCGCGGGCTTTCTCTAGTTGCAGCTAATGGAGGATACTCTTTGTTGTGGTGTGCGGACTTCTCATTGTGGTGGCTTCTCTTGTTGCGGAGCATGGGCTCTAGGCGTGTGAGCTTCAGTAGTTGTGGCTCGCGGGCCCTAGAGCACAGGCTCAGTAGTTGTGGTGTACAGGCTTAGTTGCTCCGTGGCATGTGGAATCTTCCTGAACCAGGGCTCAAACCCGTGTCGCCTGCATTGGCAGGCGGATTCTTAACCACTGCACCACCCGGGAAGCCCTATTCTTTGATTTAAAACGCCTCAGAACTCAAGACCTGACCCCGACTTAATTACTTCAGTGTGATGCGTCATTTCCCCTTCCTGTATCTGAACAGGTTTAGTTTAACTAAAGAGTGTGGCAGACTCTCGGGGTTGATGTAAAAATAGCTCACCCTGATCAGAGAAGGTGGTCTGCTGTCTGCACCCATTTCCCTGCTAATGTGACGTTGAAAAATGCCAGCAACACTGGGCTTCCTCCCTTCCCTGGCACCCATTCTGTCTCCACTGTGGAGCCTGGCGCGGGAGGAGTGTACCCCTGACTCTGCCATTGGTGTTGGGTTTGGCCCTGTCACTTGCTAAGACCAAAAGAATATGGGCAGAAGTGGCATCATGCAGATTTTGAGCCTAGGCTTCTGGAGGCATCATGTATTTCTGTTCACCTCTCTGGAAGTTTCCACCTTCCACCATGTTGGAAGAGCATATATGCTAGCTGCAGCCCCTTCAGCCCAGTGCCTACCCCCCCCAGCCCAGAGGGAGGCCCAGGGAGCAGAGCCCTCCCAGCTAACCTACAGACCTGTGAGCATGAGGAAAAAAATGCATACTGCCATACATATTGAATCCTGGAGTTGCTTGTTACACAGCAACAGCTGACTGATACAAATGGAAAAGAGGTCCATGAGGGAAAGTTAAAAGGGTGATGGAAATATAACAGCTGAGAAGGTTACTAGTCTTAGGGATAAGATGAATTTTTAAGATGTGAAATGATTCTTCTGTAGAATAATGTTATGTCTGCTGATCCTTAAGACAAACCTAAGAGGAAAGCAGTGACAGTTTTATCCCCATTTTATAGATGAAGATATTGAGGTTCAAAGTGGTTGAAGGTGCAGTGGGTGAGCCTGGTCTGGGCCCCAAATCCCTGACTCCTGGGCCAGGCTCTTCCCGGCTGTGCTGCCTGCCTCTCTTGTGGGCCTGACTTAGAGCAGCCAATATGGCAGCAGAGCTTGGCACTTTGTGCAAATGAGGCCACCGTTGGGACCTTTCTTCTGACAGGTTGGGGAGGGAGGGCACCTCCCAGAGAAGGGGCAGCATTTGGTTGAGAGGGGGACAGGGGTGCCAACAAACAGGTGCCTGTGTCCCACATGCTGAAAACTGGGGGGTCTGGGTGTCTTCTGTGTGAGCCATGGCTCTGCTGCCTACTGGTTTGCTCTCATGCTCCCCTCAAAAGGTCTGGCAACTGTGTATCCAGGAAAGATACCTATGGAAGAAAAGTGTCAAGGCACCTACACTGAATACATTGATGGTCTTGCCTGGTGGTTGGGGTCTGGATTTTGACACACTTGAAGCCTCGGGGATTTTAAACAGGAGAGTCAGCAATCAAACCTTTGCAAAAGGCTGCAGTGGGGCTTCTGGCAGCTTGAGGGCCAGGCCACGTGACCCCATGTTGTAGATGCCATATCAGGGTACACACGAGCTGACTGGCATTCCTACTGACTGCTGGAGCTGTCCGTCAGCATGTTCTCATTACTTCAGGGGGTTCTGGTCTTGTTGAAGTTGGTTTACTTTCTGAGTTGTTTTTAATCCCTCTGTGTCCTCCTACTTCATGACCAGCTGACCACATCCATGGCACTTTGATTTTGACCTTGGCTCCTGCTGACTTTTCCCCTCAGGCCCCTACTGCTCCCTGACCCCCAGGCCCCCGTAGCCCTACACTCCCCTTTATACTGCAAGACCCTTCCTTTCCAGGGAGGGACCCAGCCTTCACAGTTGCAGGGCTGTCCTTGGAGACCACAACCTCCAACCCCGAAATGGGGCAGAGCCCCCATGGATAGGGTGATGGGCTGAATAATACCCCCCAAAATATCTCCATGTCTTAATCCCTGCAAACTATTAACTTCACACGGCAAAAAAGGATCTCAAGATGGGGAGACAGGCCTGGATTATCCGGGAGGACCCTAAACTCAATAACCTGTATCTTTGAGGGGGGGAGAACCGACACAGAAGAGAAGGCAATATAATGATGGAGGCAGAGACTGAAGTGATGCAGCCATAAGCCAAGGAACACCAGGAGCCTCCAGAAGCTGAAGAGGCAGGAAGGGTCTCCCCCAGCGCCTCCAGAGCGTGTGCAGCCCTGCCACACCTTGTTTCAGCTCAGTGAAATGGATTTTGGACTCTGGGCTCTAAGATTATTAGATAATAAGTTTCTGTAGTTTCAAGCCACCAAGTTTGTGCTGACTTGTTACAGCAGCCACAGGTAATGAACACAAATGGGAAAGCCAAGGATTCCAAATGAAATGACTGGACCCATGGCCTGGCATGGACCCTCAGCTGCTGCCTGACAGTGTCCTTATGACTCAGCCACTCCTGTCACCTGTGTGTGAAATGCACAGGCTCTCCACAAGAAGGTTTCCTGCTGCCTTGCTGGCAAGTGAGGTGGACTCTGCGGCCCCTGCCCCTGCCCCTCCCTGGTGCCCGCAACCCTGCAGCCCCCGATGCTGCATCTCATGTGCGCCCTGTTGAGAGCCCCAACTCCTGGCCAGGGTGCTTGCAGCCGTCACAACTGAAGGATTAGGAAGCAGGGGTTGGAGCTGGTGAGAGATGGGGTCCTGGGAGAGCAGCCACCGTGGGCTCCATTTGCAACATGGAATGTCTGGCTTTGGCTGCTAGCTCCAAGGTCACCTCAAGGCCTGCAGCCAGGAGTAGCCAGGGCCCTGCCCTCCAGTGCATCTGCTCCCCACCCCTGGGAGAGCAACTTGGGCAAAGGACACAGAGCCTTTGGCTGTTTTTGTTTTTTTTTTGACTTTTTAAAACCAAGGGCAAACATCAGGTGCTCTTTACAGCAGCAAAGACCTGTACCTTTTGAAATAAACACATGCCAGCTACCCACCTGCTGGGAAAGCCCCACAGGCAGTGCTATTGTTCTGTGTCCTCCAGGTGATGCCCTGGGAAAGGTCACAGCTGCCTAAACCTTTAAAACCCCAGGTGGGACGAACATTCCCTGTGTGAGGATTTGGAGCTGCAGCAGCTCACAGTTGTGTTTCTTAACACTTTGTGAATTTTTTTCTTAAAGCAGTGAAAGGAGAAAATTGCTACCGAAGAGTATCAATTCTTGATTCTTGGCGGAATTCCTGTTGTCTTTGTGAAAGTCAAGTTTCAGGTGAGTGTGCCTGGTGCCCCAAGGGCTGTGTGACCCGTGGCCTGTGAAAGGTGGGTACCAGGCCCATAAGCCCCGTGGAGTCCCTCTTGGTGACCGTGGCCACCCTGGGAAGAGCCCTGGCCAATCCCAGAGGGGAGGGCGGCTGGAGCAGGGAGGGCGGTGAGCTGGTGCCCCACGCACAGTGTCAGGGGCTTCCTAGGCTGGCGACCCTCACAGGGGCTCATCTGCTGGCAGGTGAGGAGTGAGAAGATCCAGCGCCTGTTACTTGGCACTTGGTGTCTGGCTCTCTGTATGCTGGTGAGAGGGCTCAGAGGCTCACCCTGGCCTGCTTGGCATAGCCCACAAAGACAGGGTTTTACTCAGCCTTGGGCTCTACCAGCTCTGCGCAGCTGGACTCAGGGAGGCCAGAGTGCTGAGTCTGCCACCCTCAGGCCCACATGTGAACATTCCTCCTGATCCAGAATGAGGGGTGCCAGGCTGATGGGGGTGCTGCTCACCCTGGCTGGCCTGCTGCAGCAGGCCCTGTCCCTGAGAATAGCAGCCTTCAACATCCGGACTTTTGGGGAGACCAAGATGTCCAATGCTACCCTCTCCAACTACATTGTGCAGGTAAATCCAGGCTGGCCTGTCCTCAGGGTGGTGGAAGGGGACGGCCCTCTAACAGGCCCTGGGAACCCTGGGCCAGTGGTCAGTCCTGAGGGTGATCGGCAGTGGTGGTGATCGGGGGAGGGGATTGAAAGCCTCTGGTCTCAGCCCACCTGTCTGTCAAGGGGACAGGTCCTTGTCACTGCTGTGCCGTCCACCACGGCTGGAGGTGGTGGGATGTCTGGCACGTCCCAGGCAAGTCCCAGGCCAAGCCGTGACAGGAAGGTGTCTGGGAGGAGCAGGTCGGCCCTGTGACTCACAGCAGGCAGGCTCGGATGCCTCAGTCTCCACCCAGCCTGCCCCGCTTAGCAGTACTGTGGCCTTGTCCCCAGATCCTGAGTCGCTATGATATCGCCCTCGTCCAGGAGGTCAGAGACAACCAACTGATGGCCGTAGGGAGGCTGCTGGACAAACTCAACCAGTGGGTGACAGTGCGGTCCCGGGAGGCGTGGATGGGAGAGGGTGTGCCACTTCAGCCAGGCCCCAGAGATAGGGATGTGGGCAGGAGCCCTGCTATAGATGTATATAGGTGGCAGGAGGGTCCCCACGGACTGCCCCCCACCCCGACCGGGACATTTGTTTCCTCAATCCAGGGATGACCCAAACACCTATCACTTTGTGGTCAGTGAGCCGCTGGGACGCAACAGCTACAAGGAGCGCTACCTCTTCCTGTTCAGGTAGATTGGGTCACCTCCTCAGAGGGTGCTGACAGGAGGCTGGGGTGTGGTCTAGAGAGCCTGTGAGCCCCTCCCCTCCGGGTGTGGGGGCGAGAACTGGGGCCATAGAGCAGGGCCCTGAGCTGGCCTCACAGCCTGTGCAGAGGCAGGGGGACATGGCAGGAGCTCCGGGCCAGTGGGTCTGTGCGGTGCTAAGGCCGGGCCCCCTGCCCACCTGGGCCCACCTGGACGTGGCAGAAAGTGACTTTACCAAGACAAGCTGGCACCCTGGCCCAAGGCTAACTGCCCTCTGGCCTGGCCTTCTGCAGACCCGACCAGGTTTCCGTGCTGGACAGCTACCAGTACGATGATGGCTGTGAGCCCTGTGGGAATGACAGCTTCAGCCGAGAGCCAGCTGTGGTCAAGTTCTCCTCCCCCTTCACACGTGAGTGCCCCGCCCAGCCCTTCCCAAGACACCTGGAAAGCTGTCTCGTGCTGCAGCCCACACCCTTTGTGCTTTGATCTTACATTGGAATTACTTAGGAAAACGTCCACCCTCAAAGACTGGCTCATGTGTCCTCCACCACAGCCCGACTCCTGGCTGAGCCCAGCCCACACCGGCTCAGTATGACTCCTGTTTCCACAGAGATCAAGGAGTTTGCCATTGTTCCCCTGCATGCGGCCCCATCGGATGCGGTGGCTGAGATCGACTCTCTCTATGATGTCTACCTGGATGTCTGGCAGAAGTGGGACTTGGAGGTGAGGCAACCCCCATCCCCACCCGCAGCCTTGGGCTCTGGGGCCCCCCTTCTGCCCCAGGCCAACCAGTGTGTGTCTCCTGGTAGGACATCATGTTGATGGGTGATTTCAATGCTGGCTGCAGCTACGTGACCCCCTCGCAGTGGTCATCCATCCGCCTGCGCAGGAGCCCCCCCTTCCAGTGGCTGATTCCTGACACTGCCGACACCACCGTTACATCCACGCACTGTGCCTACGACAGGTGAGCAGGGCCCGGGCCCACTCTGAGCCCCCAGGCAGGGATGAGGGAGCCTCCATGACCAGCTTCAGAAATGGTTCCCAAGCCCTGTGACATGCACCCTCCTGAGCTTCACTCAGTCCACTTAGGAAATGGAATGAAAGGAGCAGCATTTCTTAGTTTGGGGGTGAAGCCCATTTAGGGATAACACTCACTGGGGGATATGTAGGTTGGTCAGTGGTGTGCAGTTTGGGGCCCAGGTTGCTCAGTGTTGGGGTGACAGTGAGCCAGGACCCGACTGGCCCCATGGGAACATTTGAGAGCAGTTGGGGAACAGTGGAACTGTGTGACATTTACCATACCAAGAGGAGCTGGGGGGACATGCTGGGACCCAAGGTGTAAGTGCACAGAGCTAGACAGTGGGCTGAAGGGGACCTTCTCTTGTGTCTGATGCTGCAGGATCGTGGTTGCAGGACCTCTGCTCCAAGATGCTGTGGTTCCCAACTCAGCTGCTCCCTTTGACTTCCAAGCTGCATACGGATTGAGTGACCAGATCGTAAGTGTCCTGGTCACGTAGCTCTAATAGGGGCCTGGGACACAGGAACATAGACCTGGACCCACTGCTTTTTTCATTGACTTGAAAGAGCCACTTGTCTGTGGCCCTGGGTGCCTCTTGGTCTCCTTTTCCCAGGCCCAAATCCCGACTGGCCTCAGGAGCCTGAGTGCAGAGTACTAGATGTCTGGGTGTCCCTGTGCTCATGGCTGTCTCCCCACAGGCCCTAGCCATCAGCGACCATTACCCGGTGGAGGTGATGCTGAAGAGAGCCTGACGTGAGTGGGGCCTGGCCAGCGACCTCCGCTCTGCAGCCTGTCGCCAAGAACTGAGACGACACAGCCAAAGGCTGGGGACAGAGTTTAGGAAACCAGTACCTGGTCCTGAGTGCCCCTGCTCCTCCCCACCACCGTGGCAACTGGAATTAGAGGAAGGTGGGCTTTTCCTCACTGTACCCGCTTCCATTGTAAGCTTGGAGGTTGTGTCACCAGAGCACCCCACCTTCTCAGTCTGGACAGAAACTCTAAGAATACATTTAAGTGAATAAAGCTCAAAAGCAGGTGTTCTCATCGGCAGCACCCGGTCCTTCCTGTGTCATCGTCCCCATCCACCCACCTCCCCCAACCTGGGCAGGAGGACCTGGGGCTTTCACCGCTGTCAGTGTCGGTCCAGGGCCTTGATCAGCAGGTGGTTCAGGCGGCTGACCATGGGTCGGGGGTCATCGACGAGCCCCGCTGTGATCATGGCATTCTCGTAGATCTGAAAGGCAAGGCAGCACCTCGTTGTTAGTGGGAGGGTGAGCGAGTGGGAGGGTGAGCGAGGCCTGATCCCAACCCAGGGACCTCAAAGAGAAGAAGGAAGAGGGAGCCTGACAGCCCCATGCCTCAGTTTACTCTTCGCATTTCTCCAGCAAACTCACCTGATCCACCAGCAGCTGGGCCAGGTCAGGCTCGCTATCTCTCAGCTGACTGAGCTTCTTGATGAGTGTGTGCCTGAACACAGAAACCACCAGAAGTTATTAGCTCAGGGCTGGGGGTGCACACACAGCCTGACAGCCTCTAACTTTGTGCTCCAGTGACTTTTCTGAAATGTTGGGGTTATCAGGACATGCAAAAAAGGGTAATAGGTCCAGTATAAAAAATAAAGCCCATAATGATCAATTATAGATTATATACCCAGAAAACCCAGCAAAAATTTTGATACTAAAATTGATATAAAGGAAACACTACTAAGGTAAAGAAAGATGAGTTTAATATATGAAAAGACATGTTATAGTTCTTGGATAAGTGGACCATAAATAGAAGTGAAACTTTCCTTAAATTAATCCATGTTTAATAGGATTCCTTTAATCTAAAAAATCTAGTATAAAATTTATAAAGTAAACATGGAAGAGCAGTTAGAGGAGGAAGTCCCAGTTAAAACATAAAGCTCCAGTAATTAAACAGTTCTGGAAAATGAAAAGGTAACAGCTCAGTGCAACAAAGTGGACAATGTATAAATGGCCCAATTCATATAGGAATTTCGTTAGTACCTCATAAAGACAGGATAACTGGGCCGCACCCAGGAAACAAGTTGGATTCCGACGTGATTAATTTCCAGAGGGATCAAAGATTAAATGTAAAAATTAAAAGCAAAGAAGTATAATACTAGAAGAAAACAGGGAAGAAGTATTTTATAATCTCGGAAGGGGAAAGCCTTTTTAAACAAAATACAAACCCAGAAGTCAGAAGAAAAGAATAACTGACTACAAAAAAACATTTTCTGCACAGGAAAAAATACAATGGGAAACATACATCAAAATTATAAGGTATAATTTAAGAGAATGGCAAAAATTGATGTTTGATAAAACTGAAGGCACTGGGGAAAGGTTCAGAGGACAGCAGGAGTGTCTTTGGTCCCTGTCTGAGACGAGATGATTCCCTCCCCTCACAGGGCTGTTCAGAGTAGCAAACGCTTTACACAGCAAGGTGAGCACACTGCACAGCAAGTGTACCAGAGGAGGCCCCACACAGTGTCTCCGAAGATACGTGAGGAAACTGGGGATGGGGGGGGCGGGGAGTTCACCATGAACTCCCTTAGTTCTTTAGAATTCTCAACCGAAAGAACATACCAACAAATTTTAAAGCAAATCTGTAAAATAAGTCTTTTGGCAACAGAAACGAGCACTCTGCACAGCTATCTTACAAAACTGCTTCTGTGTCAGAACTAGTTAAGGCAACGGGGTGTCCAGTCAGCGTCCATCTCTATTGGGGACTCACAGCTGGGAACTGTGCACCCATTACACAGGCCTGCACCCATTATGCCAACCTGCCAACCAGGACAGCTCCTTTGAGAGGCGTCCAACGCTCTTTGTGGCCAGCCATGAGCCAATTTAGATCTTTTCACCCAGTAATTGTGTTGCTAGTAATTTGGCTCAGAAACTGGAAAAGGCACTTCCCCCTACTCCCCAGTAGTTTTAAGTAAATTAATGGTTCTAAAGCAACATGGAAAAATATTTATAGGTGATGAATAAAAAAATTAGGCATGTACTATATAAAAAAACCAAAACCCACAATAAGACGAAAGTCCAAAAGAAAATATACCAAATAGGGTACAGTGACTGTGGTGGGGGTGAGACTATGGACTTTTCTAGCGTTTTTGATAACTTGTTTATGTAACTTCATGTAAAAAACTACTGCTGTATACAGTCAATTTCCAAAAAAGAAACTGTCTCCATATACAACAGTTAGAAAATGAAATTTCAAAATATCCAATAAAGACACATCAAATAACTAAAAAATGTACAAGAACTCTAAGGAAAACATAAGTTTCCAAGAGATACTCATCTGAGAAGGCAGCACAGTTAACAGTGTGGGCAACAGGGTGTTCACATGGAATAAGATGAAACTAGAACCCCCCTTAGCCCCCAATCCCAGACAGGCCAGTTAGAGATGGGCTCAACCAACATGAAAGGGCAGAACTATACAGCTTTTAGAAGGACATGCAGGAGAAGAAACTCATGTCTGGAATAGATGCTTTTTGGGGTCCTAAGAAATCTCTAACAAATGTATATACATTTGATTACATTAAAATTAAGAAATTCTCTTTAAAAGGTGAAAAGACAGTGAGAAAAGATATTTGCAACTGTTAAAGTATATATAAAGAACTACCAATCAATTTTTTTTTTAAAGCCCAACAGAAAAAAGAACAGTAGCCTTCTAATTTGCAGGGACCTGGGTTCCCATGCTCTGCCCTCTGGAAGCAGTGGGCCTTACTCAGCCCAGCTGAGGATAAGGTGCTTTCACGCCTGGGCACACATCCCGGAGAAACACATGTGCAGCACCAGACGGGGGACAAGAATGTTCAGAGCAATGTGTTCCCAACAGCCTCCAAATGGAAACTACCCAAATGTCTATCAAAATAGAATAAATAATTGTGCTGAGTAGATTCATACCCTGTGATTCAGCTGTGAACAAGAACAAACTATAGTCACCCCCCACAGATGAATGCATCTGATCACACGCCGAGAGAAGAAAGGAAGGCTTCAAAGGGAACCTGTGCACAGGGGTCCGTTCACGTGAAGTTCAGAAACAGGCAGAACTGAGCTTGTGTGTAATGACGCACAAGTAGCCGAAAAACCATAAAGCACAGTGAGGAAGTGACTGACACAGAAATCAGGACTGTGGTTCTCCCTGGAGAGCGGGACAGAATTCAAGTGGGAGGAAAATAGGAGTGTCTGGGTGTCGGCAAGATTCAGTTTTGTTAAACGTCACATAGGTATAGTTTAATACAGTTCAATTACACGAGTGTTTATAAACATTTATCAAACTGTCCAAAAGCTTTATGCACTTTCTATGTGTTATAAATAAAAGAACACACACTCACATACAATTTTAAAAGATTACCTGGCAGGTCAGAAATGAGCATGCCCATCCCCTGGGCATCAAGGGCCCTGGGCCCAAGAGGCCTGGAGCCGGCAGCCTTACCTGGGGTTGATCTCCAGCGTGGGCTGCAGCAGCTGAGCACGCTCCTCCTGGGTCTTGGCCAGCTGCTGCATGCGCAGGAAGTGCCGGGCGGCCCCCATCTCCAGCACTGTGATCATAGCAGGGTGGATGTCCAGCCGAAGAGTCACCTGCAAGCAAGGCCGGGGGTGACGGGCCCTGGCAGGGTCTTGACCAGGTATAAAGCTTCCCCAAATGACAAGACAGGAGAACGCAGGTCTCCAGGGACATACCCTCAACCAGCAGTGCTCCTCCCTCCCTCTCAATCGCCTGCTAACGAATCATACCCTGCTTGGGAACTCCCTCCTCTTCTACACTCCAAAGCTACCAATTTCTAACCTATCAGTTACCATCCAAGGTCCATCTTGCCTGGTGTTATCTGCACTTCTCTGCTTCACAGGGTCCACTTCCAGGTCCTACAGCAACTGTCTGAAGACCCGCCAGGACTGGCCACCCCATTTCCCCTGGCCTAGCCTCTTCCTCAATCTTGTGTCCATCTTTACTGCAGACGGTGCTCTCACCCACCCACTCCCTGTGGCTCCCTCTGGCCTTTATTTCATCAAATACACCTTTTCTCACCGAGCCCCATAGGCTTCAGGCCTCCTGACTTACGCCAGAGACCCTGCTGGGCCCATGGCTGCCCCCTTCCCGGCAGCACAGTAAGGATCCAGCTCCACGACTTCCTGACCTGCGGAAGCGCTCTACCTGTTTCCTTCATAGGATACGGACGAGAATTCTACCTACCTCCTAGGCCACCTTAAATGAGTCACCGCTGTAAAGCATGGACATATGTGTGTTACATAGAGAAACCCCAGCCACACGCCTTGCTCCCTGCCAGGAAGCCCTCGCCTCCCTCAGAGACCCACTGCTACCTCCCATGGAGCCCCCAGGTCTGCCCTCCTCTGCTCTCCACCTTCCCTACCCTGCACACCTGCCTGTCCCTTTGGGGCCACTCCTGAACATGTCCCTCAGCCAGTGACACCTGTTCCCTGGTGACTGTCTTTTCTCTTGCAGCTCAGAGCTGGATCAGTGGGTTCCTAGCTCATTAAAGCCTACCCAGAACCCCCACTGAGAACCCAAGCTGGACCGTACGCCCTTGTGTCCTCAGCCGCTGCAGCTCCTCTAGGCCTGGACGAGGACGGCCCTGGGGAGGCCAACTGGGGACACCTCTTCTCTGCTTCTGCCTGCCCACCAGGCCCTCAGCAGCTCACCTTCCACTTTCTTCATTCCAACTGCTCTACAAAGTGGAGGCGAAGCCAAGCTTGCCCGCCCGACCTCAGCAACTCCCCGGGCACATGTGGCTACGTGCTCACGAGCGCACACATGCAGGAGCGGCAGCAACCAGAGCAAGCAGGCTGGCCAGCTGTGCAGTCACCAAGGGCCATGGTGGCTGA